CCTTCTTTTGTGCATTTGAGAGTCTAGATCAAGGTGGTGTTTGGTTTTGAGTCTGACATAAAAGGTTGAGAAGAGGAACATGGTTTTTCACCTGTATAAATAGGTGGTATGGGCGAGAGGGAGAAGATATAATGATGTCACCTGTGTGGGGTGTGACTAAACAAACTACATTTCTGTTGGGGAATCGTGGTGACCAAAACGGGGGGGCGACTGTGGTGTGGTGGGAAGAGCAGTCGTCTCCCAACCAGAAGGTTGAGGGTTTGAATCTCGGTGCCTGCAGTCCACATGTTGAATTGTCCTTGGGCAAGACGACAGTGAACCCCCCAAGTTGCCCATGATGGCGGTGCGTATGCACGTAGCGGCCCGGGGCCCTCAGCTCCAAACAAAATTTTGTTGTACATGTCACAATGACAATAAAATAAAGCTTATTCATATAGAAAACAGCCTTGGGATAAAAGTTAATTTATTAAAATAAAAAACCCACAAGATAAATATGTCTCAGTGCTAAATAGAATCCAGTGTCCAAGTTGGGTAAGAACAGGTCTGCCCTAGACTGGCTGCTGCACGTACAATAGATGGCCTCCAGTTCCTCACAGCCTTGGAGCACCTCCAGCTGGCAACACAGACAGTAAAACCAGTTCATAAACTGAACAGCTGTTTGTGAGATCTATGACACAGTAAGAGAAACTACTGAAGCCTCAGACAAACTGTGGCTTTTTTTCCACTAGGCTTGAATGTATGTTATTTCAGCCTTAAACTTGAATGTACACTCACCAGACACTTTATTAGGTACAGCTCTACAATTGTATGCAATTCAATGCAACACTTCCACATTAACATCTGTGTTTACCCAAATTCATCAGAAGTAGACATTTTCTTAGATAGTTTAGAACTGCCAACACTATCCAGAGAACAAGCGGACAGATTAGGTGCTCCTCTCACCATCGACAAACTCCATAAAGCACTGATTTCGATGCCAAATAACATATCACCCGGACCAGATGGACTACCAGCTGAATTTTATAAAAATTTTTGGTAAATGCTGTCACCACAGAAATAAAAGACACCTCCACAATACCAACACACATGAATACAGCCATCATGACACTCTTATTAAAACCAAACAAAGACCCAATCCACCCTTCTAGTTACCATCACTTATCACTTATTAATTCAGATTTAAAAAACATTACTAAAAAGCCCTAGCCACTAAAAAAGAGACAGTCACTCCAATATTAATCCACCCAGACCAAACAGGTTTCATTAAAAACAGAAATGCTTCAGATAACATCTGTAGATTATTTAATCTGATTAATCTTGCACAACAAAAACAAATCAAAACCATAATTTTATTTCTAGATGCAGAGAAAGCATTTGACAAAGTTAACTGGACATTTCTCTTCTGTACACAGATTTGGGTTTGGAGAGTCATCCATCCATTGGATAAGAACACTGTACACATCACCTAGGGCAACAATAAGTACAAATCGGATCGAGGGCCTATTGCACAAAACTAGGATAAGGGATTAAGCCAGGATATCTTGGTGATCCTGGCTCAATTTATCCGTGATCCAGTTGCACTAAAGCTGGATTAGATGG